ATTTCAGAATTATTAAGCACCGGAGGTTTCGAAGCTCACAAATGGCATTCGAATTCTCCGGAGGTTGTATCCTTAACGCCACAAAATGAGAAAATGTCTTTTATTCTCAGTATTGATGACAAAACTGCTATCAAGGCTCTCGGATTAGAATGGAATCCGGATGAGGACAATTTTAAATTTACTGTGCGTAAACTCGCATCCTCTATAACGAAACGACAAGTACTTTCTGCAATAAGTAGGCTTTTTGATCCTCTTGGACTAATTGGGCCAATACTAACTAGAGCGAAGCTGTTAATGCAGGAAACATAGCGAATTGATCGCGATTGGGATGAGCGACTTCCTAATGAATTTCTCGTTAAATAGGAGGAATTCAAGGTCGAATTAAGTTCGTTAAAAACTCTATGCATTCCGAGACGTGTTATTGCATGTGATAAAGCTCAGCGATTATTCCTTCATGGATTCTGCGACGCTTCAGAACGAGCCTATGGCGCTTGCGTATATATACAAATGGAAGATTACCGAGGAGAGCTCAGTTCCCGAATACTGTGTTCAAAATCGCGTCTAGCTCCAATAAAGACAACAACGTTACCTCGATTAGAGTTATGTAGTGCCGTCCTATTAACACGATTAGTAACCGTAGTTCTTCGAGCCCTCAAAATACCGATTAAGAACGTAAGAATGTGGTCTGACTCCATGGTCGTGTTATATTGGATACGCGGCGATGTGTCACGATGGAAATCTTTTGTCGCAAATAGGGTAACCGAGATCAACGAAACTATACCAGCAGTAACCTGGGGTCATGTAAGTGGCAAGGAAAATCCAGCAGATGTGCTATCTAGGGGCACTAGTCCTCGGCTACTTGAGGAGCTACAATCATGGTGGGTGGGACCGCCTTGGTTGCTCGATAAAGGAGTATTAACGGAAAATCAACGAGAGTTCGACTTATCGCCAGATGCTTGCAAACTGATATTCATTGAAGAGCGTAAGAAGGGACAAACTTGCCACGTTGCTACTGGAGGTCAACAACTCATTGCAAATTTACTTAATACTTTCTCGTCAGTAACGAAGATTGAGCGAGTAATCGCTTATTATCGACGATTCATATTAAATGCAAAAAGGAAGCCACAGGATCACATCTTGAGTTCTTTGTCAATGCAGGAGCTGTGTGAGGCACGTCGTGTTCTTATCCGTTATGTACAAGCGAATCACTTTGCAAGGGAATTTTCGGATTTGAAGAGCAATCGTAATAGCAAATCTTCAAGCAAGATTGCATCCTTGATGCCCTTTCTCGACAATCAAGACATCATCAGAGTAGGCGGTCGTCTGCAGCAAAGTTGTTTAAGTTTTGAACGCAAAACCCTATTTTACTACCAACAGGAGATCGTTTCACGAAATTACTGGTTGAGAGAGAACATAAGCATCTTCTTCATGCAAACCAATAATTATTGTTGTATTCCATTCGACAACGATACTGGATTTTAAATGGAAGAGCACTGACGCGGCAAGTGTGTCGTCAATGCATACGCTGTTTTAAGACGCAGCCCCACGAAACCTTTCAAATGATGGGAAATCTACCAGAATGTCGTGTTCAGCCAAGCCGATGTTTTTACGTTACAGAAGTTGATTTTGCAGGACCGATCATCACGCTGGTTAACAAGGGTCGTGGACGGAAAACAAATAAATCTTACATCACTTTATTCGTTTGTTTTGCGACCAAGGCGATTCATTTGGAAGTCACGAGTGAGTTGTCAACCGCTGCCTTTATGGCGACTCTACGTCGATTCGTGAGCAGAAGAGGATGTCCGCATACTATATGGAGCGATAATGGTACAAACTTCGTTGGTGCCAACAGAGAATTGACAGAAATTCAGCAGTTCATAAGATCTCAAGTCGTAGATGAGGCAGGAGACATGCTTACTAACGAAGGGATCAATTGGCGATTTCTTCCTCCAAACTCTCCCCACATGGGAAGCTGGAATAAAATCATGCAAATATCATCGCAAACGAGTAATGGGAAACGTAATGTTCACCTTTGAAGAAATAACAACTACACTTGCTCAAATCGAAGCTTGTCTTAATTCAAGACCTTTATCTCCTTTATTTACTGATCCAACTGACTTGGAGCCACTCACGCCAGCTCACTTTATGGTTGGAGGACCATTGACGAGTGCGCCTGATGTTGACGTGACCGACGTTGCCGTAAACCGGTTGACTCGATGGCAGTTGATACAAAGAATTACCCAAGATTTTTGGAAACGGTGGGCGGTAGAATATCTCTCCAATTTGCAACAGCGAACTAAATGGAAATTTCCTCAGGAAAATGTAAAGGTCAATGACTTGGTAGTAATTCGCGAAAGGGATATTCTTCCATGGAAGTGGAAGTTAGGACGCGTGATAGAATTACACGCTGGTAAGGATGGCTTGGTCCGCGTCGCATCCATGCGTACGATGAACGGTGTTGTAAAACGTGCAATTAACAAGTTATGTAAATTACCTGTTGATTCAGCTAAAAATTAGTCGTACTAATTTTGGCGGTATGTATAAGCGTGAGATGTCTCTGATTTTTGTCGTCTATATTTATAAGCTATATTGTTTAGTCGAGAGATGTCGTGATAGTCCTCCTCCTCGACAGGCTCTCTAGTAGTGTTAAGAACCGTTGCGGAAGGGCGTCATAACGCCAACGTCTCGACTCTCGAGTTTTGTAATTCAGTAAATAAAGAATATATAGAACCATAGTTTGCAAGGACCAACGTGATTCTAAATCAATCCTAACAGTCACATTTATTTTTGTATAATTATATATAACTATGCTGCTTAGATTAATGAAGCTCTGGTTACATCCCGTCCTGACATTCGCGTTGACGTCCGTGGGCAGATTGCAAAAGAAGACAATAAAAAGCTTGCATGGGTTCACTGAAAAAGTGCGTAAGAATCAAGTTACTCGACATTCAATGAGCTTTATAGTGCGCGAAATTTAAATGCAAATATTCTATAAAAATACTGATAAAAAATATTAAAATATTAGTGAAATAACTCAATATTACGAGCCGTAAAATGAATTAATATTTTGTTTCATATTTACTTCATTTTGAGGTCATTGCGGAAAGAAAACTTCATCACGAACGCACGAACACTAAATGTTTGCATAATTTAGCAAATGACGATGCGATGGAAACGGATGACGTAAAAATACACGAATGTGCGTAATTTAAGTTTATCAGATCTGTAAATATGAAACCGGAATTTGCCCTAGATGGCCCTAGCTATCAATGTAGTTACCGTCAAACCGCGTCATTGGCGCCATTTCCTTGTTGACATCTCTGACAAAAATTTTCAGCTCACAACAATATAAGTTTCATACAACAGCATAGTTTGTAATAGCATTGAACATGTCGAATTTTGTGCCTGGAAACTACGATTTTGTGCCTGGAACTGCGGGCAGCATTGATTTTCTGTTATCATTTGAAGAAAACTGCTGCAGAATCGCATCGAATGCTTGTCGAAGCTTACGGTGAGCATGCTCTTGGTAAATCACAGTGCTTTGAGTGGTTTAAAAAATTCAAAAGTGGCGATTTTGACGTGAGAAACGAAGAACCTGGAAGACCACCGAAAAAGTTTGAAGACAGCGAATTGCAAGCATTGTTGGATGAGGATGACACTCAAACGCAACAACAACTCGCGGATCAATTAAATGTGACACAAGAAGCCGTCTCCATACGTTTGAAAGCCATGGGAAAGATCCAGAAGATGGGAAAATGAGTTCCATATGAACTGAATGAAAGACAGCAGGAAAACAGAAAAACCACTTGCGAAATGCTGCTTGCCAGGTACAAAAGAAAGTTATTTCTCCATCGAATTGTGACTGGTGATGAAAAGTGGATATATTTTGAGAATCCTAAGCGTAAAAAATCATGGGTAACTCCAGGCGAACCATCGACATCGACCGCAAGGCCAAATCGCTATGGACGGAAGACAATGCTCTGTGTTTTGTGGGATCAGAAAGGTGTGATCTATTAGGTGGTAAACTTAGTTCCTGTTTTTTTTTGTTTAAAAAACTCATTTATTTCGACATCAATAGCAAAAAATACATTAATCGAAGTATTTTCCCTCGCTAGCTATACATTTTTCTCATCTTTCGGGCAACGCGTAGATTCCGCGACAATAGAACGATTGGTCTTTTGATGCAATCCATTCGTCGATCCATTTTCGCACATCCTCGTAATTTCTGAAGTGTGTATCCACCAAGCCGTGCTGCATCGACCGGAACAAGTAATAATCCGAAGAAGCTAAGTCTGGTGAATACGCTGGGTGCGGGAGAACTTCCCACTCGAGCTGCATCAGTGTTTCTTTGACGGCTTTGGCAACGTGTGGTCGAGCGTTGTCGTGCAAAAGCATGACTTTACGTCAATTGCTGGCTACTGCTGGCCTTTTTTCCAACAATGCTTCATTCAGACGGTTTAATTGTGATTGATATCGATCCCCCGTGATACTTTCGTTCGGTCTGAGTAGCTCATAATAAACGACGCCGTGCATATCCCACCAAATGCAAAGCATTGCTTTGTGGCCATGAATATTTCTCTTTGGTGTGGATGTCGATGGTTGGCCAGGGTCTACCCATGATTTTCTTCGTTTAGGATTATCGAAGTATATCCATTTTTCATCGCCAGTCACTATGCGCCACAAAAAACTCTTCTTTTTCTGCCTGGCGAGCAGAGAAATAGAGATGTTTAAGCGATTCGCAATGGCATTTGCGGTTAATTCGTGTGGTACCCATTTTCCCTCCTTTTGAATTTTTCCCATTGCATGTAGACGTTTGGAAACAGCCATCGGAGTAACATTTAATGCTGCAGACAATTCTTGGAGCGTTTGAGTAGAGTTTTCGTCCAATAATGCCTGCAAATCGGTGTCTTCAAACTTTTTCGGTTGGCCTGAGCGTTCTTTATCATTGACATCAAAATCACCACTCTTAAATCGCTGAAACCATACTTGGCATGTTCTTTCCGATGGAGCATAATTGCCATAAGCTTCGAAAAGCAATTTATGAGCTGCAGCTGCAGTTTTTTTCAAGTCAAAGTAATGAAGCAACACATGTCGAAAAAACAACTTATCACGTTCCATATTTAATCAAAAGAAAAAATAGCACTGCTCGCTTAAATGAATCTCTTCGCACTGAATTTTATTGACAAATGTCTAACCTCTAAAATACAGCCAGTTTCAGATGTCAAAATAAATTACACCTACAACTAACGTCATCTAACTGTGAGCCGCAGGAACTAAGTTCCACCTAATATTATATATGGTCAGCATATTTATATAAGTTATAACCTACAGGCTACTCTTTGTATTTTATTTACTTATATTAAATTGATAAACTTTTTCGTCTCATGTATTTTTTTCTTTTTTAACAAATGTGTCACTGCAACTACAGGAGCTATATGTCGTCTTTGAACTTCACCTATAATCGCCACTGTACATCTATAATATTTTATATACTCCATATCTCGATTATAACACTCCATTTTTATACATATTGCAATTTATACAAGAGGTTAAACGTGGTGAATAGAATATGGACGACAGCGAACAACGTTATAACGCTGCTTTGAACAACGATGGAGTGGAGTAAAACGCCAGCTTTTATTCGCTGAGTAAAATCGCACCTTAATTGTCGTTAACATCCAATATTTGATCGGCATTGAGGAACGCTCGATCGCGACGTTTCTCTGTCTAACAAGTAAAAACGTAAATGAAACGCGGTAATTTCCCGCTGCGGTCAAGGCCACAATATCTGCTCGCGTGATAAGTACGCGTCTCAAATCGTGTTAATTATTGCCTTAATTGTCGCAAAGTCAAAATGCGATATTAAAAATTGGCGTGAAGTAATTTAGAAGATAACGCGGCAGCTCCCGAGACGCGATCGCCTTGACGGCTGACAGCGTTATGGAGTGACCATAGACATTATATATCTAGACCGAGCATTGAGGAGTAAGAGGGAGTAAGAGGCATAGAGGGGGTAGAAAAGAATGCATTACGTTTTGAGACCCTGCTTTCTCTCTCATTCGCGCATTTCTGTAACACAATCTTTCTAACACATACGCTTATACGCATGCGCAACTGACCGCTTGGCCGCTCGCCCCCCCCCCCCCCCCCCCCCCCC